AGAAAGAGAAGGAGGAGAAGGAGGAGGAGGAGGAGGAGGAGGAGGAGGAGAAAGAGTCGAGCCAAGTGCGTTTAGGCTGGATGATGATGCTCTTGCAGTCTGGAGTGAGGCTGTCGTGTCTGGCTCGCCTGTCTGTCTGCGCTCTGCCACACATGCATGCCGCCAGACGCAGAGACCGGCTGAGCTGTGTCTCGCCGGGCCATGTCGACCTGCTGATTGGCCGGTTAACCAGCAGGCCTGCTCTAGGCTTGTCCGTCGGCAGCCAATCACAGCCCGCCATGGTCACAGGCTTTGTTGGACAACCGACCCTCAGCTGGCGCTCCTGACTGCGGCAAACGCACGCCTGCGCAGTCTGCAGTCGGCAGCAAGCAGTCCAGACACGCCTGGATCGATATGCCCGCCAGCTCCTGGTTGGCCCAACAGATATTCAGTCCGTCTGGCTTTTGCCTCTTCGACAGACCGACCGACCGACCGACCGACTGACTGACTGACCGACGGACGGCAAGCCAATTGCCAGATGGGCCGCCTCGCTGGGCGGCGTCTGCACACGCCGTCTCGAGTCTCGTGCCGAAAGGAGCCGAGTCGGGCCGTCCGACTGGACTCTGTGTCCGTGCGGCCGAGGGCAGACGGTCTGGCTCATCGATCCGGCACGCCGGGCCGGGCCGGACCGGACGCAGCAGGCGATCGATGAGGCCCGGTGCACTTGGTCCTGCGGCCAGACTCGGCGTCGATCGATGCGGACGCCAGTCGGCTGGACGCATGCACCAGCCTCGGTCCGAGGCAGAGACAGAGACAGAGGCGCAGGCTGCGGTTGTGTGTGCGCGACCAAGGTGGCAGGCGCAAGCAGACACAGGCAAACAGACACGAGCCTCCGAGTGGGGCTCGCGTGCGAAAAGGGCCGTAACCATTTGCGGCTGATTGGTCGAGCGCCTGGCGCCTTGTGCTCACCTCGCGGCGGCCACAACTTGCGTGAAATTGGCTGCAAAGCTGAGCTGCGCCTGCCAGTGACGAACGGGGCCTAAAGTGACGCGGCGAAAACGCCTCCGACAAGCCCACGGCCGGTCGGAATTGGCGCATCGAGGATGAGCCTGAGGAGAGGCGCCGACACGTGACGCCACCGTCGGAGTCTTTTCTGCCAATCTTCTACAATCAAGACGGACCTACACTCGTACACACACACACACACACACACACACACACAACGATAACATATAGAAAAGGCTGTTTTTGAAGGTGACTATTATTCACACACCATCACATGTCGCATCCTGCCACCTTTACAAACCCAACCCAAACCTCGTAATGACCACAACCCGAAAACCAAACCAAATCCTAAGACTCACCTGCTCCATCTCTTTCGAGCAAACCCGAACGCAAGCATAATTATAACCTTAAACTAAACTTTAATGCAGAGTCAAAGTGTAAAACCAACCCCAAACGTCGCATTCTAACCCGAAATCTATGTCCATTCGCAGCCATAACGACTAGAATGAGCAATCGTAATGCAAAAGCAAAGGTAAAGCTGGCAAAAGGTTGACCCTCGAGGGGAACCATCAACCATAATCTGGTCTCTCTCCCCATC